GAGGAGGAAGAGGAGGAGGAGGAGGAGGAGGAGGAGGAGGAGGAGGAGGAGGAGGAGGAGGAGGAGGAGGAGGAGGAGGAGGAGGAGGAGGAAGAGGAGGAGGGGATGGAAAAGGAGAAGGAGTAGGAACAACAACAACAATAACAACAACAAAAGGATGAACACTTTTCCGAAATGGTCACCCACCCTGTGGTTTTTAACACAGACAGTGTAGAGATATTCATCGAAAGGGAAAATAGAACAACATACTCCCCAGACACTCTGTTGTTATTTCGGCCAATGAACCATGTCTTTATACCTCCGAATGTTATGAGGAGACTAAGAGAAAACAATCTAAATAGGATCCCAAAAACTAAACGGTCAAAGAGAGGAGGGAAAAGAACATTGGAATTGGAAATATCTCGAGAAAAAAACCAGGTCAAACAAAAGGACACCAAACTCAAGCCGACATCGCCTCCAGAGAGACAGCGCGACTCCAAGAGGCGGCCCGGCCTTCCCACACAGTGACCAGTCATTACTGGCAAAAATCAGGACCGGTCACTTCTCTGGGCTGCGGGCCTACAAAAATAGAATAGACAGAACATCGGACCCAACCTGTCCATTGTGCAGCGAGGAACTCCAAGATTTGGAGCACTGGCTGCAGAGATGCCTCGCCACGGAGGCCCAGCGGTGGCATCTCTTCGCGGGGGATTCTGGGAGGTTGGACTGCCTCACCCGCTACCCAAGGGAGGCGGTGGCCCTGGCGAAGAGCACGCTCTTCGGGGCTCCAAACATTTCAAACGGATAGGCTACCACACACACACACACACAACAACAACAACAACAACGACAACATAAAGCGTCCAAAACAAGAATAAGCCACTTCCTGGTAAAGGTCAAGTTCTAGAGATCAGCACCCTGACTGTAAACTTTTAGAAACATTTCATTCTTAAACCCCTCCTTCCCCCGCTCCCCCCCCCCCCAAATAAAAACAATTTATTTTAAAATAGGAAGGTGGCAGTTCTAAAAAAACACTAAAGACGATGTTCATTTTGATAATTTTTGTTTTTATTTTCATTTTTTTTTCTTAGCCCATGGATCTTTTTCGTGTGCCATATTCATGAATTTATTCGTAACAGGAAATCGTTGCAAATAAGGATGTAAAAAAGTAAGTTAAAAATATTTCAATACCATGATGAAACAATAACAGAATATGAATAACAATAATTAGATCTATTGGCTATTATTTGATCTTAATAATAGATAGCATTTGCATAGCGCTCAACACCAAGCTCAATACGCTTCACTATACTATTACCCCAGCAGACCTGAGAGCACTCTGAAACAAACCCAACTTCCTGGGAAGCATACAGTGCAAGCAGCCATTTATAGGCGCTAAAACACTAACATACTGACAATATCTTTCGCTGTCTATGGCCGGGTACCCATTTCCACCTGGGTGAAGTGAGGAAAATTCGTGTAAAGTGCCTTTCCCAAGGACACGAAGTCGGGCCAGCGGTTCGAACTCTCGACCCCGCAACCTCACGATTACGGGTCCGGTAGCCTAACCACTAGGCCACCAACGCCACATTGTAATTGATATTTTCCCCCAATCTTTTGTCACCTATTCCAGCTCCCCCCCCCCCCCCCCCCCCATTCCGAACTGTCATGGGATGTGGACACATACTCCTTTCCACTCTCTTCGCATAGGGAGAGACCAGAGAATTGGAAGCTATAATAATAATAATAATAATAATAATAATAATAATAAATAATAATAATGATAATAATAATAATAATGACAATAATAATAATAATAACAACAACAATAATAATAATAATAATAATAATAATAATAATAATAATAATAATAATAATAGTAATAATATGTGTGTAATCATCTTGTTATAAGTATTTATATGACAAACAAACACACACACACACACATACACACACACACACACACACACACACACACACACACACACACACACACACACACATACACACACTCACTGTTTTCAATTGAGGAAATCGACATTCCTTTTTTTTCTTCTTCTACAGAGACAAGGAAACCTTGATGTGGGTGCCAACAATGTCATCTGCAAGTTATATGCTTATGGTAGTACTACTCTTTACGCAGGGTAAGTCTATCTATCTATCTATCTATCTATCTATCTATCTATCTATCTATCTATCTATCTATCTATCTATCTATCTATCCATCTATTTGTTGTTGTTGTTATTGTTATTGTAGTTATTGTTGTTGTTGTTGTTGTTGTTGTTGTTGTTGTTGCTGTTGTTATTATTATTACAGTAGTAGTAGTAGTAGTAGTAGTAGTAGTAGTAGTAGTAGTAGTAGTAGTAGTAGTAGTAGTAGTAGTAGTAGTAGTTGTTGTTGTTGTTGTTGTTGTTGTTGTTGTTGTTGTTGTTGTTGTTGTTGTTGTTCTTCTTCTTCTTCTTCTTCTTCTTCTTCTTCTTCTTCTTCTTCTTCTTCTTCTTCTTCTTCTTCTTCTTCTTCTTCTTCTTCTTCTTCTTCTTCTTCTTCTTCTTCTTCTTCTTTTTTTCTTCTTGTCCTAGACGGTCGCTCATTGTCTTTCAGAGAAGTGTTTTTGTCTTTGACCGATCGATTCCTTGAACAGTTTCATTATAGTAGTGATAGAAAACGTAAGGTGGAAGGGGGGGGGGTGATGGTAAGTGGTAAGTGGTTAACAGAGAAGGTTGGACTGTAAATTTTTTTGCTCCTGGTTCAAGATCGACAGTAAGGTATAGAGATATCCCCAGGGGCGGTGCTACTGACTGAAGTGTCTTTAGGCCATTCCCAAAAGGGGGGGGGGGGA